CCTGGGCCCCCAGGGCCCCCATCCCAGTGTTGCAAGATCCCGGTTGGGGTAGTGGGGGTGGAAAGGGGCCTCTTCACCTCCACCCCTACCCTGTGCCAGCCAGGGAGGGGGCTCTGGGATGCAGGGGGCTGTATAGGAGATGCTGAGGCAACAATAGCCAGGGCTGGCTGAGGGCCTGTGCACCTCCTCTCTGACAGGCCAGTCACTTCCTGTCACCCTCGCTGGCCCCTGGCAAGCAGACCTCTCCTCTCAGCCTGCGCTGTTCCTAAGTGTGAATGGTTATACTTGGGCAGGACTCCTGACTGGACTTTGTCAGCTGCTCCTATAAGCAGGCCCAGCCCCAGAGAAACTTCCTTGACTCATGAGAAATTCCCTGAGGCAACCCTGCTGGGGACATTGTGGGAAAATGGCTGCAACTGGCCATCAATTCTGACTTCTGGAAGTAGCAGAAGGGTCCTAGGACTTGGGAAAAGCCAGGCTTCCTAACAGGGAGAACCCCACCTACAGAGCCATAGCCTCCCCCTGTGGTTTTAGAAACAGAGATCTAAGGTAGGTGAAGGCAAGCCATAGGTAGAATGGATCCCCCACACCCCAAAAGCCAAACTTCAACCCAAGGCCCCAAACTGTCCAACCCTCTGTTGCCCCCCACGCCTAGCACTGTTGCCCCTGGCCAGGCCATCCAGCCCTGCTGCAATCGGGACGGTTTGCAAAACGCCTGCTAGCTCCCGCTTTGTCACCATCTGAGGTTAGGACTGTACTTGGGAGATAAGCCCAGGCCCCACCCGCCCTCCAGAGCGAGACTGCTGGCCTGCTGCAATCGGGACGGTTTGCAAAACCCCTGCTAGCTCCCGCTCTGTCACCATCTGAGGTTAGGACTGCGCCCTAAGATAAAGTCTAGCCCCGCCCACTGGCTCTGCCTTCAAACTTCTCAGGCAGCATGGCCAAGAGACAGAGCTCCTGGGAAGCCTCACTCAGGCCCAGCACCAGCACAGAGATGCCTTCTGCCTGGTCCTCCCCTCCCTACCTTTCCCCTCCATCCCCAGCCTCACCTCTGCACGTTGTCATTACCACCCTCTCCCTGCACTGGCCATCTGCTCTCTTCACCTCCCATCCCCATCCTTCCTTCCCCCTCACATCCCTCCCGTCTCCTCGTCACACCCATTCATGTATTCATTTGCTCAAAGAATAGTTATAACACCTACTCCAGGCTGGGCACTTTGCTTGTTCTAGAAGCTACAGGATACACAAAGAGAATAGTCCCTGCCCTCATGGAGCTTACAGATTCATGAGGGGGCCAGACATAACACCACAAATAAATTGATAATTCTAAATGGGCAGTGCTATGTGGCAAAAGTAAAGGGGCAGCTGGGATGGATGTTACCAAGGGCACCTGACTTAAAGGTGAAGGTCAGGCAAGGCTTCTTCAAGGAAGTAACATACAGATATCTCTAAAAGGTGAGGAGTTGGTCTGGCAAAGAGCAGGGGTTCCCAGCAGATGGAGAAATGTATGCCAAGGCCCCAGGCAGGCCCTTCCTGGTCACTGACAGTGGCTGGGGGACAGACCAAGTCAGAGAGGGGCTGAGACCAGATCTCCCTCTGATGGGATCCAGAGCATCAGAGGCAGGAACCACCTCCCAAGGGAGGTGGACATTTCCTCTCCTCCAAGGAGAAAGAAGGGACAGCCGGACAGCAGCAGACACAGATACAGGCACAGGTAGGATGTAGCAGGCTGTGGCCAGTTCTGTCTGTTTTCACCATGAAAAGAGATGAGTGTCATCGATGAAGCAGGAGGCTCTGAGAAGCAGGCTTCAAGGTATAAGACCTCAGGTGATGAGAGGAAAGAGGACTGAGATTTCTGACTGGAGAGCATGCCTCTGCTGAAGTCAATGATGACAATGGAGTGACAACAGACTGTTCTCCTGGGTGATTTCCCTCTGTGGTCCTTAGCTTCTGGGGGCCAGGGTAGAGAAGTCAAATGTTGGGAGGCAGGATGGACAGGATAGACAGTGAGGGGGGGGGGGTACTTCGAAGGAGGGATTTAGTGATGAGCATGGAACCCAAGGCCGAAGATGAAAAGACAGGAAGGGCCAGCGGTCCTTTCATGAGCCCCTAGAACAGCTGCAGTAAGCCTACTTGAGCAAACAAACCGTAAGGAAAGGAGATCATATCAGACAGCACGATGTTTGATTCAGTTATTTCATAGGTGCTGCAGTTTCTGGTGATGATAAGGCTCCCGGGAGTGGCTTGTGAGGGTGGAATGCAGAATGTTAGAGATGGGAGAGTGAAGGAACTGAGAGGTCAGTGTGCTGGACAGAGCATCCACACAGGCACCACCACCACCAAGACATCCTCTGTTCAGTCCCATCCTCTCCCACACCCCGCCCTCGTCCTAGCTGGCTTTCCCTTCCTCCCCTTCCTCCTCAGCACGTCCCTCCCAGTCTCTAATTTCCTCCCTCTGCACCCTCTTCTCACCTCTTCCCCTCTGGGATCTGCCCCACCCTCTCCCATGCCTCATCCTCTTCTTATGCTGCTTCCCTCCAATCTCCACCTATTCTCCTGGCCCCCTCTTTCTCATCCTGCCCCTCCAATCGATCACGATCATGCTATGCCCTTGAGAACACTATTGCATTTTGGGTTAAACGCCACACTCACCACCTACTCACTTTGCCTAATTTTGCCGTGCCTCGGTTGTAAAATTGGGGTATTTATAATAATACGTACCCTGGAAGGTTGCCAAAAGGAATATGTGAGTCTAAAGTACTTGGAAGATGTCTGGGCACAAAGGGAATGCTCCAATGACTGTTATTCTCACCCTCTCTCCTTTCCTCCTCTCTTTCCTCCCAGCCACCTTCCCACCTCCATTATCCCTCTGTGCCGACTTCACACCTCTTCAAAGAGGCACAAGCGAAATCAGACTCAGCCCCTGCCCACAGTCTAGCAGGGGAACAAGCACAGAAATAAATGTCAAGAGAATATAATAAGTGCTAGATGCGCAAGAGCTGCTATTGGAGAACAGGGGCTATGCAAACCACCTCTGCCTGGGGGAGTAAAGAAAAAACTCAGCAGGCGGATACCCTCTGAGCTGGCTCTAGGAGGATGGGGAGGAATTTGCCAGGCAAAGGCAGGACAGAGGTATTCCAGCAGAAGAAACATGAGGTGTTTCTTGTGCTGTTTCTGCTGGAAGGTACGAAGTTCTGCATGCGTGTGTGAAGAAGTTAGCCTGACCCCCGGCCCTGGTGGGGGTGCCCCTCCTCTGCGCGGCCATAAGGGGGCAGCAAAGCATCAGGAGCGGCTGCGGAGGGGCCGGCAAACGGAAAGCCACACAGACCTGGACTCCCTTGCCCCAAGCCTCACCACAAGGGTTTTCCCCAAATAGGCTGCCCTGCCAGGAAAAAGAGGGAGTCTGATAACGTGCAGAATAGGGTTTGTCTTAGAAAAAGAACAAGAGTCCCCTAAAGATTTGTACACATGTTGATAAGAACAGAACAGCTCTCCACCGAGTTGGAAGTGTCTGTGGAATATGTACTGTTGACATGTCTTGGTATTTACCATGAGCATGGACACTGTTCTCAGCACTTTACAAATCTTTGCTTTCTCCTCAGAGTAGCCTTGTCAGGTAAGTATAATCACCCCCCTTTTGCAGATGGGAACACGGAGGCACTGGGCCAAAGCTGCATAGGCAGAAAGTGGCAGAGTTGGTTTGGCTCCAGCCTTTGGCTGCCTCCCTTGTAATCACCTTTCCAGCCACAGCTGTGGCGTGTCAAAGTATCAAATCCAGCCTCCCTAGGAAGTCAGCAGCCCTTCTGGAAACTCTCATCCTGTCAGGAATTAGCAGTGTTGCTTTATGTCATTTCACCCCTGACCTGTTTCTTCAAAAGTTAAACAATGGGGTTAGGTTCTGTTCCTTCATCCACAACACAGACGGATGACTAGGCCCTCGGGACTGTGCCGAGTGCTGTGACTACAAAGCCAGCCAGGAAGCAGGCTTACCTTGAAGGAGTGCAGGATGTGGAGGGAGTGCCTCTAAGCCAACAATTATAGAAGGAAGGGAAGGGGAGGCCTTCTGTGAAGTGGGCCTCCTCCCCTCCCCAGAGCGAGAGTGGAATTTGGGCAGGAGGTGTTAAGTAAGAAAAGCTTCCTGAAGTAATTATAGGGGAGGTAGGAATTAGCCAGGCAGGCAGGAAATGGGGGGGGGGGGGGGGAGGATGTGAAAACACAGTGTGAGCAAAGAAAACAGAGGGACTTCCAAGAGCTGGGTGAGAACATCTTTGAACATCTTCTCTTAATGTCCACTGTAAGAGTTGACTTTCCCCCGCAGCATGCCTATCTGTGAAGCCTCACAGAGCTAACACAACAGCCTCTCCTAGGAGGTGTCAGTCAACCAACATGTGTTTGTTGAGCACCTACTAAGTGCCCTATACAGATGGAGGTGATGCCTAAAAGTCTTGCAGTCTGGTTAGAGTCCACCCAGTTCTGATACCGGGGGTAGTGCCATGCAGAAGCCTTGTTTGCCCATCTCCAATGAAGTAAGTAGGCATCTGTGAAGCACAGAGTACCCCCCCCCCCACCACACACACACCCCCTTATATTAACACCAACTTTTTAGTTCTAGGAAGGTTCCAAGGTTGTCCACTCAGAAAGGCAGGGGAATTAGGATGAGAGATGAAAGAGGGTTAGGAGGGTTTCCCAGATGGCACAGGCTCCTGTTTGGAAAGATCAGTTGAGGCTTTAGGAATAACACTGCCCCGCCCCCCAGCTCTCCACTCTGGCATGGGGGGTGGAGGGGGGGCGCAGCTTTGATCCTTGTGCTTCACATCCGACCTCCTGGGGGTAACTATAGATTTAGTCAACATGACTCCAGTCTTAAAAAAAAATAAGCAAGAGTGGTGGAGAGGGTATGGAGAGAGATAGTAAAGAGAGGGCAGCCAGAAGTAAGTGAGGCAAGGAAGAGAGGAGCAGAAGACAGGATCCAGGGCACGTTAGGGAGGACCACTTGTGAGATGTTGCTGCTGCTGTTCCTGGGGATTGCTGCAAGCAGATGCCTACACGATGAGACACAGAAGTCTGTGAGCCTGCTCAGGCCCCCTCTCTCCCAACTTGCCCCAGACTTCCGTTCTGCTTCCTTCACCCACCCTGGCTCTCGTGATCCTCAGCCCCTGAGAATCCGAACCTGCTATATCAGAGATCCTGTATCAGATGGGGCTTGGGATACTGAGGGAGCCGGAAGGAGAGGAGTACCTCATGCCCTGGTGGCTGCTAGACAGGCCGCTAGGCGACTCCAGGGTGTCCTCGCAGGTAAGTAGGGAAACCAAAGGGAGTCAGGGAGGGCTGAGGGTCAGAGGGCTATGGAGGAAGACAACCAGCGAAAAGGAACTCTAAAGATGTTGAGGTGAAATCGACTTCTTGTCTTTTTAAGTCCCTCCAGTGCAAGGACCCCTGCTTCTGAGTCGAGACCCTGCACAGTACTGCCATGCTGTCTGGGGAGACCCAGACACCCCAAACTACCACAGGTGAGTTCACGTCATTTAGAATGTACACGGTACCTCTTCGGCGGTACCCAGAAATGTCTCCAGCTCACCTACAGGTATTCATTCTTGGCAGGTGCAGCCTCTTGAACCCAGGGTACAAAGGAGAGAGTTGCCTGGGAGTAAAGGTGAGATTTGGGGATCTGAAGATCTCTAGCCTGCCTAGACTTCCCCAAGACCATTATTAGCACCAAAATTGTTTAATGTCCTTCCTAATAAATGCAGATTCCTGAGCCCCTTCTCACCCTGGTAATTTATAAAATCAGAGATGGGGAGGGAAGGTGGCAGGAGTCCCTATTCTGACCAGCTGCCTACATGACACTAAGGCAGACTAAAGACAGAGACTGTCCACTCCTCACTCCTAGTACCCAGTTTCCTATTGTCCCCATCTGCTAAACTAGATGCTACATTCCACTCCCTGCCAGATCCCTGATGCCCATCTCCGTGGTTACGCACTGTGGCCAGAGCAGGGTCCCCCACAACTGGTCCAGCCAGATGGGCCTGGGGTCCAAAACACTGATTTTCTCCTGTATGTGCGGATTGCCCACACTTCCAAGTGCCATGGAGAGGTGAGGCCCAAATCAAGTCCTTTTCCGTGTTCTGTCTCTCCTAGTCTTAAATATCCTGGGGAGGGGGAGGGAGCATAAAAGCAATCTTTATTAAAAGTTGTGCTCATTTGAGGTAACTTGGGTCATGTTGATGAAGTTTGGGCGGGAGCTAAACCCCTTCAAGTAATCCCTTGGGACCATCCCTGCTGGGTTCCGTGGGTGTCTATTTTCAGAAAGATTTCTTCTGTGTTCCCCCACATCCCTGCTTTCCACCGCTACCTTGTCCTGGCCCATCCACAGCCTTCTATCATAGCCTATGCTGCCTGCTGCCAGCTGGACTCAGAAGACAGGCCCCTTGCTGGTACCATTGTCTACTGTGCCCAACATCTTGCCAGCCCCAGCCTCAGCCATAGTGACATCATCACGGTAACTGCTGCATGATGAATAGGAAGATGCAAACAGGTTGGGGATAGGGGACAGGTCACTCAGCTTCCCATGAAGTGGAAGAATCTATTAAGGTTGGAGGAGAAGGTGCCTCAGACTCTAAGAAGAGCTGATTGGGCAGAGGGGCTATGGAATGGCCGGTCAATCTATTCCACACCCAGTCCCCCTCACCATGCGGTCATTTGTCCTTAGGCCACACTACATGAATTGCTCCATGCTCTGGGTTTCTCTGGACAGCTCTTCAAGAAGTGGCGGGATTGCCCCTCAGGACCCGGTGGTAAATGAGAGGAGTGAGAGCCAGCCTTCCCACAATGTCAAAGAGAGGGGATCACTACCATCCCACCAACTCCTTCCCTCCATTTCTGCTCCACCCTTTCTGAGTTTTCCTCTCCTCATATTGCCTCCTTCACTTTCTGTGCTCAGTTCCAGAGAACTGTTCTACAAGGCCACAAGTCACAAGGCGTGATGAGTGGGGACAGCTGCTTCTCACTACCCCAGCTGTTAGCCACAGCCTGGCCAAACACTTGGGAGTGCTGGGGGCTTCACTGGGTGTTCCCTTGGAAGAAGAGGTGAGACTGAGAACACCTCGGGGTGCTGGAAGGAAGAGGGGGTCATCAGGTGGCAACAGGCTACCTCCTCCCTAGGGCGCTTTGTCTTCACACTGGGAGGCCCGACTGCTCCAGGGTTCTGTAATGACCGCTACCTTCAATGGTGCCCGGCGCACTCGACTTGATCCCGTCACTCTTGCTGCCTTCAAAGATTCAGGCTGGTACCAAGTCAACCACAGTGCTGCAGAGGAGCTGTTGTGGGGCCGGGGTGAGAACAAAGGAAAATCGCATAGGGGCCCTCACCACCTGAGTCAGCTTGGGGGCAGCAAGAGAGGTTGGAAGGGGTTATCTGCTGCAGACGTGTAGCTGAAGCATAAGCACAGCCAGCGCTGAGGGGTGTTGGGGGCTTCACTTGTTCTGAGGGCTCTTTCTCTTCCCACCTCTCAAGCAGGATCTGGCCTGGAATTTGGTCTGGTGACCACATGTGGGGCTGGCTCCTCAGACTTCTTCTGTACTGGCAGGTGTGTGTGCTGAGTGGTTGAGGGGCTGTACAGCTGTCGGGGACCCTGGTGTCAGCTGCCATCTCTTCCACACAGCGGACTGGGCTGCCACTACCTGCACCTGGACAAGGGGAGCTGTTCCTCAGACCCCATGCTGGAAGGCTGCCGCATGTACAAGCCCCTGGCCAATGGGGTGAGACAACTGGAGAAGACAGAATGGAAGTGAGTGGGCCTGGAGAGGAGTCAACGTCTAAGGCATCTAGGCAAACACTATTCTGCCTCCTGTCCCACCTTTCAGAGTGAATGCTGGAAAAAGGAAAATGGATTCCCACCTGGGGCAGACAACCCCCACGGGGAAATTTACCATTCCCAGAGTCGTTGCTTCCTTGCCAACCTCACTTCACAACTGCTCCGTGGGGACGAGACCAGGCGTCCCTCTCAGATCCCACACCTGAAGGAAGCAGAGCTCACTGGCCGCTGCTACTTACATCAATGCACAGAAAGGGGAGCATACAATGTGCAGGTAGAGGGGTCACCCTGGGCCTCATGCCTTCCTGGAAAGGCTATTCAGGTGGGTATCATAAGTGAAAAGCTACAGAGCCCTTGGCAAAAGGAAGTTTGACAATGCTTGTATGGGAGTTAGTACATTTAGATGTTCATTCATTTTTCTCTAAGTACCCACCGAGTCTGTGACTCTGATCTAGATTGTACAATTTTCTTAGAAAGGCTTGAGCAAACAATTGAGGTCATAACTATACCCTGCTATGTATTTCCTTGCAGATACCTGGGTACCATGGTCTTCTCTTCTGTCCCCGGGGTCGGCTGTGTCAAACAAATGAAGGTACCAATGCTGTTACTTCCCCACCTGTGAGTCTTGCCACCCAAGACCCGTTATTCCATCTGTCTTTACAATTAGCTGGGCCCCCAGGCCACTCTGTGGGGAAAGAAACGCTAGAAGAGCTGACTGAAGCAGTACTACAGGCTCTGGTGAGCAGAGGCCACACTGGCAGGTAAAGGGACAGTTCAGACTGAGGATGTACACAGTGGGCCAGGGAGACTGCCTAAGTTGGTTACTTCACCACTCTCCTCTGAAAACTTTGTGCCATTCTGAAGCCTGCACCTGTTTCAGGAGATATACTCTTCCAGGGACTCTATCTCCCTTAAGAGATCCAAATGTCCCTGTAGGTGCTATTTCCACAGCCCCTCCACTACCACTGGACTGGTGTTCACTGTGTACATGTGGAAGTCCTCTGGCTGCCACGGGCCTTCGGTTGGTATGCTGCACAGGGCCCTGACCCTGAGTCTCCAGAAGAAGCCCCTGGAAGTATATTATGGAGGAGCCAGCTTTACCACAGAACACATCAAGTAAGACAATATTCCAAGTAGCCTTCTTTCAAAGTCCTGGAGTCCAGGTGTTTGAAATTGCAGGAAGCACTCATGTGTGTCTTAGGCTTATTTTGGAAAACGAGTGTGATCACCTCAGACCTAGCACTATGGGACAACTTTCCCTCCACAATGATGGAGTTCCCCATCCGTAGGACATAGGGATCCTAGTCCTCTTCCTCCCTAAAGTACTAACAGGCTACTATGTCTAGTTACCTAAACACCATAGTCTAACTGCCAACACCTCACTGCCAGGTTAGGTCTCCTTCCAACAATTTAAGTTGCTAGGAGACTTGGATCTTGGTCTTTTTCCTACTTTCAGGATCTATATTCCTGATTTCCTGTGTAGCTTGATTGGATGAAGCAGTTTCATGAGCTCTGTATATTATGATAAAAGTGAAGCCCTTCACCTCCTAAGCCTGAGCATTATTTCAAGCCAAATATTACCTCTATGTTCCTAGGTCACTGGTTACCTGGGACCATAATTCCTCCATGACTCATCTAGGGCTGTCCATGGGACTCTGCCTAACACTGCTTATCCTGGTGGGTGCACTGGGAACCATGGCCTATCAGAGAAGAGCTATTCTCCAGGTGGCACCAGCTGCCCCTCACCATTCACCAGAGCTCCAAGAAACAAGGGGCCCAGTTGAAGGAATAAGAGAGGTGTGACATGACAGGATAGATAGGGCAGATTATTTCTTGGAAGACAACTGGATGGAAAGTCTATACTTTTCTCAGAATGCCTCTTTCTCTAGGTATCAACTCTATTCTAGCCCTGTAATGAAAAAATTCCAGAGACTTATGGTTCTGAAGATTCTTTATTTTGATACAAAAAATAAACACTTCAACCTATAAAGAGTGTCACTTGTTTTCATATTGGAGAGCAAACTTACAGAACAGGTATTTGTTACCAGCTCCAAGGATATCACAATATGCTTTAGAAAAAGCCACTGCTATTTGGATTCAAACAAACATCAGCATGGAAGGAGTAACAATTATCTCCCTCTCCTGATTTTTACATACTTTTACAAAATCATCACTAGGGAAGCTTAGTTGGGATGTCACACAATTATGCCAGAATCTGGTAAGAGTGGTGAAATCAGCCATCTGAATCCAGTTAAACTATAAAAACGTGACCTTTCATCGTCCTTCTCTCCTGTTTCTGGAGCAGGAAGGCTCTACTTTATAGCCTCATGGGCCAGCAATAGGCTTGAGTTATAGAATATGTAGGTTCCTTTTGGTTATACTCGCAAAAGAAGCCATTGAGTTCTTGAGGGTTTGACATGTAGAAAGGAGCAAGCTAGGAGGCTGACTGATCTGAATTTACTTAGATGGAAAACATTTCTGCTGGGAGTCCAGTTGATAGGCTATTAAAGTTGAAATAACCAAGCCTGTCCTGGTCAACAAGGTCAGTCAGTTGATCAGGATACCATCCCTAGACTGTTAAGTGACATACTTGAAGTTCTCACTGTAAAGTTGCAGCTCCATCAGATATGATTATCTTCTTTGATTTTAAAGCCCATCAATCTTTACCTGCTGTAGCAGCCACTGCTTGGTAAAACTTTGCCACGAAGTCTGGCTCACTGACCTCCAGCTGCCTGACAAATTCGTTGCGCTCCTGCTCAGCCCAACCTCGAAACCACTGATCCCAAAGACGTAGCTGACACTCAAAGATACAAGGCGGTCGGTTTGCTCCAGACACACTAAGCTGCTCCAGACCTTCCAGCAGTGGCTGTAATTTTCCCGGCACTGCCTTAGCTACCAGGTCCTGTAGGAAACGTTCACGCTGGGGACCTGACCAACTGGCAAACCAGTGAAGAATACACTTCATCTCCTGGGAAGTGATGTAAGACATTGGGGGTGGGGAAGAGTTAGTAATACTGTCTGGTACTGAGGGTAAGGGAGTAGGGAAGGATAGTGGCATCGAAGAGGAAGATGATTCCAGTGGCATCCTGAAACATAAAAGCACTGTTAGATATTCTCTAGATAGGGCAACCAAAATACAACTTCTCAACAAAGAATCTTACCAAAAATCACCATCTACGGATAAAGTTATTTTTCACCAATTCAATTTACAAGAAAACAACAGGGTACTTCACATAGGTTATTCTCCAACTACCTTAGAGAAGTCACCCCAAAATAACTTCATATTTGCCAACCTCCCTCCCTTTCAAACCCATTAGCCTCCCCAACCACTGCTTCTCTCCATTATTCTTATAAAGAATCTAAAAATAACCAACACATTTCTTGTTCACTCTCTCTGGCCTACTTCTATGTTCCAGGTTGAGTAAAGAAAAATGATAATGTTGGTCCACCTCATCTTCCTTAAAATGAAAAAAGGTACATATTTTTTTAATCTAGTACATGCAGCTGGTGAGGGCCTAGCTGCTAATAATCACAGAGCTATCAATGGTGAAAATCATATATGATAAGTCTTCTTTGTAATGTGTACATAGCCTCTGAGATATGCCAAGAGCTTCATAACATCCATTACTTCCTTATATTTCCTGTTAAAGCACCAGGAAAAATTAAAGAGCAAAGTAAGTGAGCGTGCCTCACCCAAAATAAGATAACACAGAAAGGAAAAAATAGAAGAAGCCACGTGTTTATTCAAGACTGAAAATGATGACTTAGGAGTGTAACAAGTATTATACTGCTGGAGATGTATGACAATTTATGTCTTTGAACATTTTCCTTAAGGTTTAATATATAATACCTATTGATGCCCTGTCATTGATTTGCATCAGTAATGCAAATGGAAGGTCAGTCGACTTGAATAGTTTGAGTTCCACAGTTTGAATGTCTAACAATGAAAACTTTAAACTACTTGTCTATGACCCATTTTACTGTTTGTGTTTCTTCTGCTGCAGGTTGGAGTATTTGTAGTGACAAAGAGAAGAATCCGTAAGCAATTAACATCAGTTCAGTACCCAAACAGTACAGGGAGGTTGCCTTTTTCACAGAGCTCCCCCAAGAAGCAATCCCTCCTAAAGGAACTTTATTCTTACTCGGGGAAAGGAGAAACTTTTGCCTAGTCTTGCGACATGGCCTCCACAGCAAACTCAAGTTCAATAATTTTGAATTAGTTCACAGTCTGGGCCCAAAAACACGGTGCCGCCACTTGCCCACTTTGGAGGCCACGGAGCCTGGCATTCTAAGATCCCAAAGAGCAACGTAGCCTTAGATGGGAGTGGCGGGGATTCAGATATCGGGAGGCGGCAGCTGTACCGGTAGGAGAGCGGGAAGTGTGCCCTACTAGGGTAGCCCGCAAACACCGAGTCTGACCCGGCCCAGGGAGGGACTTCTACCCCGCTTACCTCCCCTTTCCTGTCACAGGGCACCTGGAGACCGTCACCAAGTGCTTAAACCCCAACTGTCGCCGCCGCTTCCATGTTTCCTGAAAACCATAAGCAGGGCCAGCCCGGCAGCCCACGCACTTCCGGTCCCGGAGCAGCCCCAAAAACCCAAGCGCCTCAGCGCCTCAGTCTTAGGTTCGGAGATAGCCGACTAACTCCGATTTTGGTTAGGCCAGAGTCGAGGGCTTCCGAGTACATTCGATTCAAAGCCTCGGTAAGACGAAGATAACCGAGTTCTGAAGGCAGCGTGAGGAAGGCGGAGAGGCTGGGAGGATGGGAAGAACTGATTGGTGCCGATGTTGAGACGGAAATACCCGAGCGATTCCGGAGGAACCCGAGGAGTTCTGAGTGGTAATCGAGGGGTTGACTATGGCAGTGGGCGGGGTCAGCTCGGTACGTTCGAAGGGCGTTGGCGGAAATTACCGAAGATGCCCGAAGCCGTCGGGACGGACCCGAGTACCTCACGCAAGATGGCGGAGCTGGAGGAGGTGACTCTGGACGGGAAGCCTCTTCAGGCGCTGCGGGTGACCGACCTGAAGGCCGCACTGGAGCAGCGAGGCCTAGCCAAGAGCGGGCAGAAGAGTGCCCTGGTCAAGCGGCTCAAAGGGGTGAGAAGACGGCGTTGCCGGGGTGTCGGAGGGGAGCGGACCCGGTAGAGACGAGTCTCTGCCGCGGCGCAGGCGCAGTGTCCGGGCTCCGCGCGAGCTCGCTCAGGCCGCCAGCGCGAGCCTCCGGAACCGCGCGCACGGTGGTTGGTGAGGCTCGCGCTGGAATAGAGACAGCGCCGGTTCCCGCCTTAACGGCAGCGGCGCGAGCCCAAAATGGGAGGGTGCGCGCTACTCTCCCGGAGTGTCTTAAGCTCCTTCCTCCTTCCCCCACCCCCTCCTTGTTTGTGTCTGTGGTTTCGGCGCATGCGCTGCAGAAGGAGTTAAATCCCACCACTACCACCGGCGTTGCTGGCCTGAGGGGGGCGAATTGGGCTGGGTCAGAGTTAGGGGTATAGTTGGGCGGAGGGGTTAATGGGGCTGGTGTCGGTATCCGGAGGAATAGGATTGGGATAGGGTAAAATGCCTACCTGATTAGGAGGTGAGATGAAGAGAGACCTTGACTTGAAGGGACTCGGTTGTAGAGGGGTGTATGATTTATCCAGAAGCAATTTGGGTGGATAAGAGTTTGGTGAATATTGGTGAGAGAGGTGGGGTAGGTTGTTATATGTTGGGGGTTTTGAATCGATTTGAGTAGTTTAGGGTGGGATCGTCATGAGGTGGATGGATTTGTGTGTATAGATTTGGTGTAAACGGAGGCAGTGTGAAGATGTCATGGTTTTAATTGGGGTTAGTTAGGATACATGGTGTGTAGTACCCATTAGGGCTGAGTTGGCTCAAGGGTTAAATTGACAGACCGTTGCCTGCCTGTACAGAGCTGACGGTTTCGTGTGTGTGGATTGGGTCAGCCACAGTTTAGAGTCTGTGGTCATTTTGTTCTATAGCCTCCTTTTTGAAATTTTTATAGACTTGATAAATCTAGGTGCCACTCTGTTGGAAACAATCCAAATTCACTCAAGTAGATCTAGCCCTGGGTAACTGACCAAGTAATTCAGTCAAGCCAAAACCAGCAGCCCCATGTTGGTTTCCTGTATTTGAAGCTGACTTGAGTATTTGAAGTCATTTTACCTGCATGGCCAGATTTAGAAGGGACATTAGTCAGAAGTGCAGAAGATAATAGAGATTGTAGTACTGGTTCTGTCACTGTCACTGATTTTATTACATAGCCAGGTCGCTCATTTTCTTCATGTGCCTGCATTTTACATTTGTACATTTGGGAGCAGTAACCATGGCTACTTTCAAGGGTCTTCTGAAGATGAGTAAGAACAGTATTAGTAAAGGGCTTTTAGGTTCCTGGAAAAGGAGTACAGTTTAAGTGTGTATGGTTAGTCATTGCATTCAATGAAGAGATTGGGGAGTGGTGGGTTTTTTCCCCCATTTTCTGACTTTTGCCATTCTCTATACCAGGCTCTAATGCTAGAAAATTTGCAGAAACACTCAACACCCCATGCTGCATTCCAGCCAAATTCCCAGGTAAGAAAAAAGATTTATTAGATAGGGTGGGCTCTTTGGATGCACAGACATATGGAAGGACATAATGATGTATATTTGATGGTTAATTCCTCACCAGTATTTTTCTGAATTCCCTGAGTTGGAAAAGTCCTCATACCAGATCAGTTGAATTCTAATAAAAAAATTCAGAAACAGAATTAGAAGAGCTATTAGTTAATTTCTGATACTTGCAATGATGTGTGCAAAAAGATGTGGTTCCAACTGATTAAGTGTAGTACAAGAATCTGGAGCCATTCATTTGCCATTGATTTGGAAAAAGTAGTTGATGTCTTTGAATGAAGACATGAAGTAGACAATCAGTAGGGCAGTGTAGGACGATACTTGCTGATCAAGAAGAATTCTTGTGTTGACATAGATTTTCCAAGAATTCAATCCTTTGGAAATCATCCACCATTACTAGTGTTAATGCTAACTGTACACTTACTTGTAAATATCATGAATTACTCTGTTACTTAGGGCAAGAAACTTAACCTTTGGATGCCTTGGATTCCACAATTTCTATGTATAATATTAGAAAAGGTTGGACTATATCCATAGTTTTATAACTGCTCTATTTTAGTTTTGTAGACCTGCTTTTGGGGGATTTCTGGGGAAGATAACCTTCTTCCCCAGTGGGCAGGTGCTCATATTCCCCACCTAACTAAATTCGATCTTCTTTTATCTGTCTTACATATTGAGTTTCAGTGTAAGATTTTTTTTAGAAGAAACAATTCCACAGTTTAAAAAAATAAAATTCTTAGACTGCAATTTCATAAGATTCTTTTCAGCTTTTAAAATCCCCTCATTATAGTATGTTATGTACTTAAAGGAAAAATCTAGGTCTTTGTTAGTGCAGTGTTGTGCAGCTCCAGTACTAGGTGAAGTCCCAAGATACTATGGAAAAACAAGAGAGCCTTCCTAGTCCCTTGTTACCACTTCATTAAGCTATGTCATAATCTAGTCTGTTTATGGAAGTTAAGTATAAGTGTAAGAAACTACATGAGTTAATCAGTTTATGATTATATTCCATTTATTCATTGCATTTTAGTCTTTGAAGCTTTGCTTTATTAACATAGGATTTTTGCAGTAAATCTGTACGTTCTCTAATAAATGCAACCCACACTTTATCAATGTTCATTGAATACCAAGAGATGCATCTCTACTTTAAGTGAGAGTAAACATTTACCATGCTTAGGAAAGATGACTAAAAACAAACAATATTCAGATTTTTTCCCTTTTTTGGCATTCTAGTAGGACTTGCTAAGCAAGAAGGTTCTGGGAAGGACTTGTGACAGAAGAGTGATGTGGGACTCTGTGTTACAGGAAAAAATGGGAAAAGGGATTAAGCTCCTGGATTTTAATGTTGTTACCAAGGTTTTATCCCCACCCAAAGAAAAAGGAAGTTAAAACTCTGTTTAAATGATGAATAGACATCCCTTTTCTTAATCTCTTACATAGTTTAAGTGCCGTATGTAAATTTTGGAGTTGTTTAACAAAATGATCCCTGGATAGGTGGAGATTTACCTTTTTTTATCAACAAAAAAATGACCTAGTAGGAACTTGTATTTTTTCCTTTCAGTTCTTGATATTACTAAAAAGAAAATTTAGATTATCTTTAAATAACATTTTAGATTAAAATTTGGATTAAAACATAATTTTGCAGGAATTTTTATTTTAATTTGGGCATCACTCTGGTTGGAACTAAATATTCAGGGTAAGAAATTATGTGCAGTTCCTCTTTTTGCCATCTTTTCTGAATCATAGGGTTATTTATTTTGGTCCTCACCATAATTAGAAAAGGGCCTTCCAACATTTTGATTATCTTTCTTGGGTTCAAATATAAGGAGTAGACTTTTGCTCCATGGAATTTTCTTCCTTGTGTTTTCCTGGTTTGCTTTCCTCGACTTTCTTTTTCCATGTCTTCTACACAGATTGGCGAGGAAATGAGCCAGAACAGTTTCATAAAGCAGTATCTGGAAAAGCAGCAGGAGCTACTTAGGCAGCGTCTGGAACGTGAAGCCCGAGAAGCTGCAGAACTTGAAGGTAAGCCCAGACTGTCACTTCTTTCAAGGAGTTCTTCATTCTTATTCCTGTCACTGAATAGATAGGCCTGTTTAAGTAGGCAATTTCAGGAGTAAGTCAGGCTGAAACTGCTACTTACTTGCTTTGGTAGTTAAGCCAAGTGAGTTGTTATTTACTTTTTGTCAGGGAAGAAGACACTTAATTTGACTGTTAGAAAAGGATTCCTGCCAACAGGAAGAATTATAAGTAAATTAAGCTGCCCTTTAAATGAGGTAGATCTTAATCCCAGGGAGTTTTTTCTCTGTGTACAGTGCTCTCTTTAGTATGTACTCTTGTGTCCCGTGACTTTGCCTGATCTCCTTCGCTCCTCTACATATTCCCACATGCTGAGCCCTTCACTCCCTCCCTGCCCCGACCCAATCTGTGCTTTGCAGAAGCTTCAGCTGAGTCGGAGGACGAGATGATCCATCCTGAGGGAGTGGCTTCCCTGCTGCCTCCTGACTTTCAGAGCAGCCTGGAGAGACCAGAGCTGGAGCTCAGCAGACATTCACCCAGTACGTATCTCCCTCCCCACTGCGCTGTTTTGTCAATCCTGCGTAGTTGGTGGGGGGAGGTAGTTACGCCTCCTTTCATGCTAAGCCTCCGTTAAAGTCCCAGGGCAGTTCTGTGACATTGATACTTCACATCTGTTTGTCATGGGAATTATGTCCTTTTTGAAGTCTGCTTTCACCTCTGTGTTGTGACAATCTCTCAGAGTGTTTTAAAGGCAGTATGATTTTTCTTCGCATCTGTACCTCTTTAACCTCCTCTACTTC